TTTTTTAAAACTATCAATTAAGTATTTTTGTCAATTTTTTCATTAACTCGATGATATGTCCGTTATCTTTAAAATACCAAATTACAATTTTTTCTTTTTTCTCAATGAACCACATGAACTTTAATTTTTTCAAATTGAGTACATCAACTTTTTCAATATCTGTCAATCAAATACTTTCATCAATTTTTTTATTAATTGATGACGTGTCCGAATACCAAATTATATATATATATATATATTTTTTATCTTTTGTTGTAAGGAATTTTCTCCTTAAATTATTAATTCCATCATTTTAAAATTTGATAAAGAATTAAAAAAATACTTTTAGTTATAAAATCTTAAACTAAACTTAGTAAGGCTTGGTCTTAAAAAAAAAATCATTTAGGCTTTGGGTGTGAAAATTGAAGGAAACACAAATGTGAGATTTTGCATTGGGAATATTCATTTGTATTTTTTTTCAATTTTTACTTTTAAAACTACCAGAATTTTTTTTTTTTTAACAACAACCTAATTAACTTTGGTTTGGAATTTTAGAGATAAATTTTTTTTTTAATTTTTCAAATTATAAAATAGTAAAACAATATGAGGAGAAAGTTTCTTTCAACAAAAAGAAGGTAAAATTATAATTTCATATTCGAATATGTCATTAATTAATAAAAAAAGGATAAAAATACTAGATTTATAATTTTGAAAAAGTAGATGTACTCAAACGAAAAAAAATTAAAACTCATTTACTCTATTGAGAAAAGGGTAAGATTATAATTTTATATTTTGAGAGTACTAGACACGTCATCGGTTAACGAAAAAATTAACGAAGTACTTGATTGATAATTTTAAAAATGTTGATGTACTCAAATGAAAAAAATTAAAATTCATGTACTCGATTGAGAAAAACTTAAAAGTTGTTATACTTATAGTATAATTATCTCGTTAATACTAAAATGGTCTATGTTTAAACTGATTTTCAAATTTTTATAGAAAAAAATCAAATCACTGATTTTTTTTGATATTTTTTATATGAATATGTTTAAAAAGTATCGGTTTGAAGCTTATTCAGCTTAATATATTTTTGCCAAAACAATTATACAATATTATCAAACATAATATGCTATAGAAAAATATAAATCATACCTTAAAACTTCACTGAACAATTTAATTTTTTTTAATTGATATAGTTTTTTTGACATTATATTAGAGTATTGATGACCAAATGGTCACGTACAACAAAAAAATAACTAATTAGCAATGTAAAAATTCGTCGTTAAAACAATGCATTCCATCGTTAATTTCATTTAGTGATGAATTGGCAACAAAAAAAGTATGTCGCAAAAGCCTTGTCGCTAAATTATTAGCAATGGAAAATTTAGTATGTCGCTAATTTGATGAAATTAGTCAAATTAGCGACGAAAAAGTTTTCTCTATTTTGACGTCCACTTTTGCTAATGTGATGACATTAGCAATAGAAATTTACGTCGCTAACTATTCGTCGATAAATTTCTATCGCTAAAATGCATGTAATATATATATATATATATATTTTGTCGTTATTTGGTTGTTAATCCGTCATCGATGTAGGAAATGTAATTTTTTTTAAAAAAATCATTATTAGTTGTTTAATGTTTAATTACGGTAGCAAACAAGTAAAAATAAAATTATAATATGAAATATTATTATATTAAATAAAAATAATACAAAATGAAATAAAAAAAATATACAAACGAATTCTAGTGTACAAAAATAATAAAAAAAAACTACAAAAATAGCTACTCTATACAATCATCGTCATCATCCTGTGATTGGTGGGTAGTAGGATGATAAGGAGGAGAAATGGGCACATCAATGTGGATTTGCGTAATAGCTGCTACGTCATTTGTATATGCCTAAAGTCAATCCATATATTATTTGATCTCATTTTTTATTTCTGTATATCTGAGCCAACACAATTATTTAATTACCATATTTTTCAATCATGCATAGGACATAATTTAAAGGTTTTTTATATTTTTTTCCTAAAAATCTAACAAAACTTTAGCAAAGTCTCCTTTATAAAATGAACATTTTTCAATTATCGAAGAGTCTACTTGCATAAAAAAAAATACATTCAAAATACAAAGAATATGCATCACAATCCCTTGATATGGATCTTCATTTGGTAATATCAACATGCAAATAAATCTAAGGTATTCTAAATTATCATTTTAGCGAGTAGACCAAACAATTCATAAACAAGCCACACAAACAATCAATTATATTGCACCAGGACTAGCATTCATCCTAAATAAAAAAAACTAACAAAGATAGCAGTACTCTCTTCCTCCTAACTCTATCGTGAAGCGTTGATACTATGTTATACCTTCTCATACTACAAAAAAATCCTGCATATAGAGATAAATTTTTCCATCGTTATATGTCAAAAATATGTCGCTATATACCATTAACAATGGATTAGAGACAATTCTAATTCCATTGCTAATATGGTGGTCGCTATTTTTCATTTTCTTAGCGATCAAAATTTTGCTATTTGTTGAATTTTCGTTGCTAGATCGATGTAACACTATAGTTTGTCCGGTCTCATATCTATCGTCATGTCGACTATTTTCACTTATATTCATTGCTAAATAGTGATGGAATGGCCTCTCACTAAATAATAGTCGCAAAAATACTCACAATTCCATCGCTATTTAGAGACCGTATGTGTATCGTTGTTAAATGTTTTCACAATTCGATCACTAAATTCTTCACTAGATGAATGAATTTTTTATAAAAAAAAATCAATAGCCATATATTTTTAAATATAGTAACAAACAACTATAAATAATACCTAATTAAAACATCATATATTTATTAAATCAAGATTTGCTATTCCATCACTATTTTCCTAGTAAATCCGTTGCTAAACCATATCTAAAACTCCCGAAAAGATTTTATCATCAAATTTAGCAATGGATTAGTGTACGTCGCTAATAAACCATCGCTATTCAATCATTGTTTCCAACGAGATGATATTTTATCATTATTTGCTTGCTATTTAGTGATGGATAAACATTCGTCGCTATTTGCTATTTTTTTTATAGTGTCAATAAATTCTTTTGCGACATCATATCTCTAGAACGCCGCCGTAATTAGTGACCAATCACTTTAAAATTCCTCAAATATAACATTTTACTATAACTATACTTAAATCACATAAAATATAATTAACATGTTAACAACAATTCAAATTAAAAAAAAAAAACAAACAAATAAATGAAAAACCTTGGCTGATAGAAGTATCATTCGAAGAGAAGATTGTGGTGCCCAAAGTTTTACCGTCGGATATCGGTGCTATAAAATAAAAATAACACATTAAATATGGCACGTTAATTAATTAACACCAAAAAATACTAACTAATATAGCAATTCTTTTTTTCTTAAGAAAAAAAGTAATAGAATCAATAACCATAACTAATTAAGAACTAATAAAAATATTAATTACAATTAAATTATTATAATTACTACTAATTGACATAAATGAGTATACGATAAAAACACCTAATTACAACTACTTAACTAATAGAAATACAAATAAAAAAAATGTTAAAATATTATTAAAAATAAGAAAAAAAATAAAAAATGCAAAAAATCTCAACTAATCAAGTAACATAAATTAACTTTTATTTATTAACACAACTAATTAACAATAATAATTAGATTTATAACTAATTAACATCATATAACATACATTAAACTACAATTAATAACTAATAAAATAATAATAATAAATAAATAAATAAACTAAAACATACTTGGAAAGAGGAATCTCTAGAAAAGAAGAGGTCGTTGAAGATCCACCCTAAAAAAACAAAAACAAACTATTAGTTATTATTGAATAAATTAAAAGAAAAAACACTTGCCGAGAGAAGAAGACGAGGGCTGAAAAACAAAAGGAGGAGGAGGAGGAGGCCATTGGAGGAAGAAGCAAAGGAGAAAGGGGTGGCTAGAGTGAGGGAGGAGAAGAAAACTGAAGAAGAAGGTGCTAGATTTATGGATTCTTTTTAGCTACAAACATTATCCCGTCATTAAAAAAATTAAGTTTATGTTGCTGTTTGATTTTAAAATGGGTCATGTTTTCTCTTTATTAACAACAAGAATAAAGAGAAAACATCATATGTAGCCAAAATCCCAAAATTAGTGACAAAAATCATCATCTATCAATTTTTGATTTTTTTAAAAAAGCGCTATATTTTCCTTTTTAATGATGAAACCGAGTTGCTAAAGATATGTTTACGTCATTGTTTGATTTTAAATTGGGCCATTTTTTCTCTTAATTAGCGATAAAAAAATATTCATCCATTACTAAAATTCCAAAATTAGCGATGGAAAACATCATACGTCACTATTTGATTTTTTTAAAAATGCCATTTTTTCACTTTTTAGCGACAGAATTGAGTTTGTCATTGAAAATAAATTTCTATTGTCTGTTTGATTTTAAATTGGGCATTTTTTCTTGTAATTAGCAATGAAAATCAAAATCTATTGCTAATATCTCAAAATTAGCGATGGAAAACATCATCCGTCGTTAAAAATACATTATTAAATCATCTCCCCATATCCCTCCAAATTTAACAACGGAAAACATCATCTCGTTGCTAAAATCTCTCGTAACTAAGTTAGTATTCCGTTGTCGACTTAACCATCAAAAATTTATCACGTAATTGAATGATTATAGTGTTTTGTCGTTGATATTTCATCATTAATCCATCGATATTAACCCAAAATGCCAAAAAATTTATAATAGTAATTAATATTCGGCTAATCCATCGTTGTATGCCAACAAATTCTAAAATAAAATTAACCATTTTGCAAACCGAAGAAGAATTTTCCAATTAATATTTTTTTCGCATTATAAGTTTCCAGCTTCTAAAATATTCACATTACTCTTCAATGCTCTCCAAATTACATATGAAAATGCAAAGTATATATAAAACCCTAAATTCTCTATAACGCTAGTGTTTTCAATTTCACCATTTCTCAGTCCGAGTCTGGTTGAATTTCCCAGAGATAGCAGCTGCTAGTGCAGCTGTAAAATTTGGATCCCTTGTCAAAGAAGAAGCCATTTGTTGGACCAAAATTTTTTGAATTGCCGGCATTTCAAGATTTTCTTCGACAGTCTTTTTAGCACTGTCTACGTGCATTCCACTTTGGATCAAATCAAGGGTCATAGTAGGAACTGAACCTCTGATAGGTGATGAAGTGGGAATTGGACCAACATTTGAACTGTAGCTTGAGCATAATGATAGTTCAGGTTGAGAAAGGCAAGCATGGTTGTGCTCTCCTTCATAAGTTGCTACCAAAATTGAAGCGTCTTCAGCACTTCTTTGGACCTAAATAAAAGTACAAGTAAAGCTCTCATAAGAAATTTGAAATATCCCTCTAGAGGAAGTGAAAGTAATTTTTGGAGTAATTTAGTTACCTTCTTTTTGACAGGGCAACTTGGGGCAAATGAGCACTTAAAGTAAGCCCTAGGAGAAGGGTTGTCTCTGGTCACCTTTTGACCATATTTTCTCCATTGATATCCATCCTTCACAACCTAAAAACATAAACCAAGTTTATTCATATATGAGAAAGAAGGCTAATTAATCCTAATTGATTTCTGTTTATGCATAATTAATCACATAACTTGCAAGCAAAATGTTAACTAAGTAACTTACCAAGCTTGCATCGGATGCATTAGTCACAAAATAAGCCCTTGAAATCTTCGGTTTCATGTTCTCCTTTGGCCTTTTACTTGTCTCTTCATCACTAGAACTACTTTCTGTATTTCCTCCACTAATTGCATTAATCTTGTTGCTATAATCTTCACTCTCAGCCTTTCTCTTCCTTGATATTATTAGTTTACTGAGTTCTTTTTCAGAATTATTGCCCGTCAAATCATCTAAATGTTTTTGCAAAGCCATGTAATTTCTGCATACAGCACCAAGCATTTCTGTCAACTTCTGGTTCTCACTACTCATCCGATTCAACTCTTCAACAAGAACACCAACGCTAGCCTGGGAATAACCATCAAGTTTCTGGTTTAGTAGTTGGAGAAGAAAAGACCAGACAATCAATATATATATATATATATATATATAGTTCACTCTTCACAGAATAAAAAATAATAGAAACTCACCTGCTTTTCAACTTTCTGTTCAACCCTAGTAGAACCCCCTCAAACTCTTTGATTTTCTGATTCAAAAGAGAGTAATAAATCCTCTTAGCGCATATACATGACAATTCTTAAACCAAGAAAAAAGAAAAGAAAAGAAAAGAAAAGAAGAAAGCTCGAGGAACTGAGATCTAATCCCAGGATACCTCGAACGAAAAGAAATGGTAATATTAGTAGTAGAAGAAGAACTTACTGGAGCTTGAGTTTCATTGACATGCATGAAGGGATTGATGCTGAGATCAAGAGAAGTATTCACCCATGATGAGTCCATAGATGAATCGGTAAATCTCTTCCTTGAAGAACCTATAAACTTAACTAGTACAGCAAAAAATAAAAATAAAAACTAAAGAGAGACAAGATAATTAGCTAGGTAGCAAGAGGGTATGTATGGTCTGAAGTTGGTCAAGTGAATGAGAGAAACACGCAAGAATGCTTCAATATTTATAGAAAAGATAGGGTTGTCTTGGTTTGTAAGGAAAGTCCCTGGAAATAACAGTTGAGAAACAAGGAGTCGACATCAAATTTGGAATCGTCTGATTTTTAAGATGTCCACATTCATCCATATAAAAAAAATAAATAAAGAGAGAAAAGAAAATGTGGGAAAGGCACGAGAAAGTCATGGTTTTCGTCCTCACAAGTTGAATAATATTTTGAAATTCTTTTAGGGCATGTCAAGGTCAAGCACCATGGTCCCAGTAATGAATGAATTGAATACGCCACTAAAAGTTGCAAGGTTTTGAACATGGAGAAGCTTCATGTTTTGTGTTGACCTGTGAATTATCTCATAGACTTTGTGCACCTCGCCCCCTAACTTTCCTTGCTCTTTCATTTTCGAATAAGTTAATGACAATACTTCTGTTGTCACATTAAAATAAAATAAAAAATAATGGTCTTGTGTTGATCCAAGCTCACTCTATAATAATACAGGTGCTAAGAGATGATGTGGATGATAATTACAAGGCCAAATTGGCACTAATTCTATGGGATATAATTGAGAGTTGAATGTCTGGATTCCAACACTATATTCTTAAAATATATATCAATTTTGGAAAAAGGAAGTCCCTAAAATGTAAATATGTATAATGCCTTGGCCATAGTTTTTAGGAAATACTTGCTTAAATTTTAGTGTCTCATCATTAGTTTATTAGAGTAGTTTCTTCCTTTTTAATCTCTTGAAATGGATAGTTTGTAAGGGTTTTTTAGACAATCAAAAAAATATGTTCTAAAAATAAAAAAGTTATTCTGATTTGACAAAAAATAAGGATAAATTTTTGATATTTACAAATGAATAACTATTATTATTTTTTAGAAGTATCAGATTTGGTTTGACTTAACGTAAAAAATAATAAATTTATTTTTGGTCGATGTAAAACTAATATAATTATACCCTATAATTACCTGTAGATATATATTAAAAAATATAATTTTGTATTAATACATCAATTTTGGAAAAAAGAAGTCCTTAATATATGAATGTGTATAATGCCACAAATGAATACTAAGAAAAGGAGGAAATAAAATGCAAAACAATGTTCATTTCTTTTGTTGAGCCTTGTTTCTGTTTGACTAAAAAAGTAGAAGCACAAACGCGGATTTGAAAGTGGTGCCTGCGACCTTTCGACTAATTTGTAATGACTTTTTGTTTGATTTTACTGGCCAGATTCCCAATCTGGCTCTCTTTCAGAATTGACATATGGAAAGCTCCTATTTTTCTAGCAATGTCACATTTTGACAATTATTGTGTTATTATACAGAGATAAACGCGTAAATATATTTATCTATTCTTATTAAATATTTAAAATTTTATACAAGTCTTTAAGTCTTTAAGTTATTAAAAATTTAAAATTTATCAATTCTTATTAAATATTTCATTTATTTTTAAAAATATTTAAAATATTCAATATATTCTTCCGATCAACTTTTTCAACCAAATATTTTTTTTTCAAAACGTTTCTAATTAAAATACAAAAATAAAATAAAATAAAATAAAATAAAATAAAATAAATTTCTAAAAACTTAAAAAAAGAATATACAGGTCATGTGAATGTAAGCTTTGTCCTTTTTTCTTTTTTCTTTTTTTTTAAAGGGCTTTTGATAAAAAAAAATTTCATAGTCGAAAAATTTGATTAGAAGGATAGATTGAATTTACATTTCAAAATTTTTTTAAAAAAATAAAAAATAATTAGAAATCTAAAGACATATAAAAGAATTTGAGTATTATATAAGGATAAAATGATATATTTATTCAAGATAAAACTATGATGTATTTTTATCACTTATAATTCAAGTTATATTTTTGATTGATTTGTTGTTGTTTTTTTTTAAAAAAAACAAAAGACAACAAGATTTGAAGATTCATTCATAAGAAAAATCAAATACAAACAAAATACAAAAGATGATAAGAAGAGTAAATTAACAATCCAAATACTCCCATTATTCTAAATTTTTATGGTAAAACTTTATTATAAAAAGAGTTTAACATAAATATAAGAATAACACAGTATCAATTGTCTTGTCTCCTCTAATGAAAAGTATACTTCCTAAATCTAAAGGGAATATTAGACAACAACAGAAAAATGAACTCTACAAGAAAGCATTAATGCTACTTGCCTCTCGTGAAGTTTGAATTTTCAAAGTACATACCATTGATTCTCACCACATTAAAATGCGATTTGGGATTTTTACTAAAACATTTCGCATTTAAATCTAAGAAGAAGTGGATGAGGGTTTTATTCAATCTTCATTAAGGAAAAAAAAGCATTAAATTAGATATATTGAAAAACTTATCCTATATAAAATAAATAAATAATAAATGAGTAATATATATAAGATTTAAGTTTTTTTCAATTGAAATCTAATCTCATGAACTATTAAATTTATTTAATATAGTATCAAAATTTCAAAGAGATTTCAAAGTATAAAAAAGATCTAAAGCTCAAAGTACTTGACAAACTTCAAAAAAAAAAAAAAAAAAACTTCATCCCAATCTTCACTGTCTAATTTAATAAAATAAAATAAAATAAAACATATTATAATTAAATAATAATAAATTTAGCCTTTCGTTTCCAAGGAAGGGACGAATATTTAGACGTTGATATGTACGAGGAAATTCCGTTGAAGTAAAACGATTGAACAAAGTTGCATGCAAGTTATGACAGATTTAAAAAATATATATAAAATGAGGATAATAATTAACAATTAATTACCACGAATGAGTATCATTTATCATATAAATAATTACTGATGCTGGACTCTAAAGATAAATAACAAAAAGTCATTTGTATTATTTATTATATCCAAATATTCTATGAATAGGTCTCTTGACTCCTAGCTCTTGACCTTGACCGACTGACCTTCTATGGTCGGCAAATTGAAGCCAATGATTGATGGACATGTGGAAAGTTCGGCCAATCTTACAAATCTAATAAACTCTAGGCATTAGCATTCCCGTTCTAAAAAGTTTCGAATTCGAATTCCATGTTTATAATATATTCACTAAATATTTTAAAAAAAGTGTTGTTTTTTCACAAGAAGTGTTAATTATAGCTTAATCCTTATGGTTTATTTTAAAAAAAATTATTTAATCCTTATAATATAAAAAATAATCAAATTTTCCCATGCTTAATATTTTTTTCCCCAAAAATTGACTTCGATTCTCATCACATCTTCCCATCTATTTAGTTCTTTATTTTCCTTTTCTTTTTCCTAAAAAAAAAATCAAGATAAATTGGAAAAAAATATGAAATAGATGAAAATGATTAAATTATAAATAAATTAAAAAAAATACAAGGATGAAATATTTATTTTCTGAAATCAGCACTAGACTAATTAATTTATTTTACTAAACTATGGTAACTAATTTATAATTAACTCTCCACAAGAGCTGCACCTGATCTATTCTTCCCTACAAGAGTGCAATTGCTTTTTATCAAGATTCTAGGAGAGAGAGCTTGAGATTCGTAATATTTTGGTGTTTGGTGCTTGATATCTTATGAAAAAAAATTAGATTCCTGAAAATCTGACATTTTTAGATTTTTTGTATTATTATTATTGAAAAAGTAAAGTAGTTCCATTCTACATTGAAATTGCGTAATATTAATTAGATATTTTGAACTAAATATTTTTTTTATTATTTTTTTTAACAATTTTTTTTTTAGATCTGAAAACTGTAGTAATTATTAAAAATTTCCACAAACAGCTTAATATATATTTTTAAGAATACAAAAAAAAAAATGAAAATGGAACTTCAATATCATTAAGCAATTATTGTGTGCTAATTAGATCCCAAAAAGAAAAGGAAGTTAAATAGTATTTAATTAAGAACAATTTAAACCCTTAATTAAATTTTAGGGATATAATGATAAACTTATCTAAATATCATATAGATTTTTTTAATCAAAAATAAAAAAACAATATATTTCAAAAAATTATCATTTCCATCCAAAACAAAAAAAGAAAAGAAAAATCCACATTCTAGATATGATCATTTTCCAATACTTTTCCATGCACCCTAAATTTCCAAGTATCCAAGAATTGGGGTGCCAAAGAACCGTCAAATTAATTAGCTTTTGCCACACTTTACCATTTATGGTAATTGAGTATGAACTTGTGCTTGACTAACTAAGATACGAAACCGCCTGCCCAATTTGGGTGTTTAATTTCAACGTAGAATTCAAAAATATATGACAAGATATTGCAATTTCATGCAACCAACTACGCAAAGTTCTTGAAACTATATATTGCAATTAAAGACATTAAATCGGATCATTCACGTTTCATACACAACAACAACCCTAGCTACTGCCTACTTCAATTGTTGACCCAAAATAAAAACTTGGAGGACAATGTGAACAGTATGGGCAGCCACATTGAACATGCTTTGTACCCTTAGCTATGGGGTTTTTAGCAATAGAAAAGACATATGAAGTCGGCAAGATAAAAAAGAACAGGAATGACTCACTCTATCTTGACTCAATCCTTGGCCTCTAGTTAGGTCGGCCATGGAAGGAAAAATGTGGAAGGGTAACTAGGTCATAAGACGTTTGAGAGGAGAGATTTGGCCAAGGTTTCATTGGGATCATACCTCTTTTTTTTTTCTTTTTTTTTTTTTAAAGGAACCGGCTATGCCGAAATTTTAAAATAAGTTGAACATTTCATTAATTTTGCAACTAGCTAGACTTCTACATAAATGAAAATTGACATTGGTTATGTTTATACAGATGAATGAAGAGTAGTATATTGGAATTAATCCCTCACTGGTTTTATCCTTGC